CCCAACCCCAACCCCAACCCCAACCCCAACCCCAACCCCAACCCCAACCCCAACCCCAACCCCAACCCCAACCCCAACCCCAACCCCAACCCCAACCCCAACCCCAACCCCAACCCCAACCCCAACCCCAACCCCAACCCCAACCCCAACCCCAACCCCAACCCCAACCCCAACCCCAACCCCAACCCCAACCCCAACCCCAACCCCAACCCCAACCCCAACCCCAACCCCAACCCCAACCCCAACCCCAACCCCAACCCCAACCCCAACCCCAACCCCAACCCCAACCCCAACCCCAACCCCAACCCCAACCTAGTAAAATTGAGAGTTTGTATTTATTTTATGACAAATAATTCTTTAATTAAAATTGTTTTTATTTATAAAATTTTATGATCTTTCTTTTTTTTCTATTAGCTTTTTATTTAAAAAAATTAATTAAACTTTTTATGCTAAAATTTTGTTTAAATTTAAGTAAAATATTAAAAACGAAATATAGTTTAATAAAATTTTCCTGTTATTTATTTGTATAAAAAACTCATATCTATCAATTATTATAAAAAGTTTTATATTGAATATTTACTAGAAACTTAAATAAAAAATTCTTGAATTCAGAATAATTTGTTTCAAAAATGAAGAGTCTCATTTGATTTTAATTTAAATTCTTATTTATTTTTAATGAAAATGTTACAAATCAAATTTAAAATGTATATAAATAATTATTCTTTAAATTTAAAAAAATTAAGAGTAAATACATTTTTAAAATAAATTAATTGCGTTGTAAATAAATCGTTTCAAAAGTTAAAATAAAAATTTTATTTTGAATTTATATCAAATTTTATGATTTTTTTAGTTAATTTAAATGCTAAAATATAAATCTAAATTAAAAATTTTTAGAAATGATATTAAAAAATATTTAGATAAAAGCTAATAATTGTTTCAAATAAAAAATTCATTATTTTAAATTTATTAAAAATTAACATTTTTATGATTAACAATAACATAGTTTATTATCTAATATATATACCCCGTAAATCCACATAAATTCTGACTAGCATAAATTTTCACCATATTTTCTGAATATTTATAAATAATTAATATGATTGATGAATACTATTTAATATTAAAATCAAACTCTAATATAAAAGCTTACCATTTATAATATTTAATAAGATATAATATAACACAACAAATTTCAAATGATTTGATCGTCTTTTTATTATTTATAAGCTATTTGTTAACTTACAAAAATATGAATGATATTTATAAATATAAAACAATCATTAAATCTATCTATAAAAAAACACATATAATACTCAATTATTCAAACATTTAATATTTATTCATCATTTTTTGCCTTGTTTATCATCATCATTTTTTTTAAATGACAACTAATCTTTTTGATTTAAGACACTTGCTTATTACTTTTAATTCTTATGATTTATTCATTTCTCTAAAACTTTAATAATAAATTTGTGTAAATTTTAAAAAAATATTAAATAAAATAAACTTTTATATTAAAAATTACTTCTTTAATTAATAGATAAAATAATATTAGTGGAATAAAAAAGATAAAAAAATAAATCAAATAAAAGTTATTAAATAAATTCAGGGAGCTTTTTTGTTTAATATTCATTTTTATAGTTAAAAATAATTCAATCCAAAACGAATAAACTGTTACTCAAGTTTAAATATTAAATTTGAGAGATTAATACACTTTGCTAAGCCAGAACCTAAGCCTGATGCACCCATTACACCAATTTAATTCGAACTTTTTAAATATTACAGAAAAAAATATAATTAAATAGTTTATAAGAAGGAAAAAAGGAAGAAAAAAATATGAAATAATCAGATTAATTAATAATAAATGCAAAATATTTAAATAAAATGATGAATTAAATTAAAAAAGAGAGTATAAAATAGCAATCAAGCAGAATAAAAAGAAAAAAAGCTTTTATTGTTTTAAATTATTTTATAATTAAAAATGTCTCAATCCAAAACAAATAAACTGTTTTTACTCAAGATTAAGTCTCAAATTAGAGAGATTAATACATTTTGCTAAACCAGAGCCTATGTCTGATGCACCTTTAGCGCCAATTTAATTGCTCCTTTTTAAATATTAAAGAAAAAATATATAATTAAATAGTTGATTAGAAGGAAAAAATGAAGAAAAAATATGAAATAATAAAATTAATTAATTAATAATTAATAAAAGCAAAAGTTGTAAATAAAATTATGACTTAAATTAACAAAGAAAGAATAAAAAATAGCAAGCATGTGCAATAAAAAAAAAAGAAAAAAGAGCTTTTATTGTTTTTAATTAGTTTTTATAGCTAAAAATTTCACAATCCAAAAAAAATAAACTGTTTTTACTGAAGTTAAAGTGTCAAATTTGAGAGATTAATGCATTTTGCTAAAGCAGAACCTAAGCCTGATGCACCTTCATCACCAATTTAATTGTCACTTTTTAAATATTAAAGAAAAAATATAAAATTAAATTGTTAATTAGAAGGAAATAAGGAAGAAAAAATATGAAATAATAAATAAGATTAATTAATTAATTAATAATAAAAGCAAAAGTTGAAAATAAAATGATGAGTTAAATTAACAAAGAAAGAATATAAAAAGCAAGCAAGTGCAATAATAAAAAGAAAAAGAAAAAAAGCTTTTATTGTTTTAAATTAGTTTTATAATTAAAAATATCACCATCCAAAACAAATAAACTGTTTTTACTAAAGAACAAGTGTCAAATTTGAAAGATTAATGCACTTTACTAAACCAGAACCTAAGTCTGATGCACCTTTATCACCAATTTAATTGCTCCTTTTTTAAATATTAAAGAAAAAATATATTATTAAATAGTTAATTAGAAGGAAAAAATGAGGAAAAAATATGAAATAATAAGATTAATTAATTAATAATAAAAGCATGAGTTGAAAATAAAATTATGAGCTAAATTTACAAACAAATAAGAAGAAAAAGCAAGCAAGCACAATAAAAAGAAAAAGAAAAATGAGCTTTTATTGTTATAAATTAGTTTTTATAATTAAAAATACCACAATCCAAAAAAAAAAAACTGTTTTTACTAAAAGTCAAGTGTCAAATTTGAGAGATTAATCCACTTTGGTAAACCAGAACCTAAGCCTGATGCACCTTCATCACCAATTTTATTGTAACTTTTTTAATATTAAAGAAAAAATATAAAATTAAATAGTTAATTATAAGGAAAAAATAAAGAAAAAATATGAAATAATAAGATTAATTAATAATAAAAGTATAAGTTGAAAATAAAATGATGAGTTAAATTAACAAAGAAAGAATAAAAAAAGTAAGCAAGCGCAATAAAAAGAAAAAGAAAAATGGGCTTTTATTGTTTTAAATTATTTTATAATTAAAAATGTCACAATCCAAAACAAATAAACTGCTTTTACCGAAGTTTAAGTGTCAAATTTGAGAGATTAATGCACTTTGCTAAACCATAACCTAAGCCTGATGCACCTTCATCACCAATTTTGTTCCTACTTTTTAAAAATGAAATAAAAAATATAAAATTAAATAGTTTATTAGAAGGAAAAAAGGGGAAAAAAAAAATGAAATAATAAGATTAATTAATAATAAATGCAAAATTTGAAAATAAAATGATGAGTTAAATTTACAAAGAAAGAATAAAAAAAGCAAGCAAGTGCAATAAAAAGAAAAAGAAAAAAAGCTTTTATTTTTTTAAATTAGTTTTAATAATTAAAAATATCACAATTCAAAACAAAACTGATTTTACCCAAGATTAAGTGTCAAATTTGAGAGGTTAATGCACTTTTCTAAACCAGAACCTAAGTCTAATGCACCTTCAACACCAATATAATTGCTCCTTTTTAAATAGTGAAGAAAAAATATATAATTAAATAGTAAATTAGAAGGAAAAAATGAAGAAAAAATATGAAATAATCAGATTAATTAATTAATAATAAAAGCAAGAGTTGAAAATAAAATTATGACTTAAATTAACAAATAACTAATAAAAAATAGCAAGCAAGCGCAATAAAAAGAAAAAGATAAGAGAGCTTTTATTGTTTTTAATTAGTTTTTATAATTAAAAATATCACAATCCAAAATAAATTAACTGTTTTTACCCAAGGTTAAGTGTTAAATTTGAGAGATTAATGCACTTTGCTAAACCAACACCTAATGCTGATGCACCAATATTATTTTCACTTTTTAAATATTGAAGTATTTAAATAGTTAATAAGATTGAAAAAATGAAGAAAAAATATGAAGTAATAAGATTAATTAATAACAAATGCAAAATTTGAAAATAATATGATGAGTTAAATTAACAAAAAAAAGAAGATAAAAAAAAACAATAAAAAGAAAAAGAAAAAAGAGCTTTCATTGTTTTAAATTAGCTTTTATAATTAAAAATATTACAATCCAAAACAAATAAACTGTTTTTACTTAAGTTTAAGCGTCAAATTTGAGAGATTTATACACTTTGCTAAAGCAGAACCTAAGACTGATGCGCCTTCATCACAAATTAAATTCCAACTTTTTAAATATTAAAGAAAAAATATAAAATTAAATAGTTTATTAGAAGGGAAAAAGGAAGATAAATATGAAATAATCAGATTAATTAATAATAAATGCAAAATTTGAAAATAAAATGATGAGTTAAATTAACTAAGAAAGAATAAAAAAAGAAAGCAAGATCAATAAGAAGAAAAAGAAAAATGGGCTTTATTGTTTTTAATTAGTTTTTATAATTAAAAATATTACAATCCAAAACAAATAAACTGTTTTTACCGAAGATTAAGTGTCAAATTTGAGAGATTAATGCACTTTGATAAACCAGAACCTAAGTTTGATGCATCTTTATCACGTATTTTACTATAACTTTTAAATATTAAAGAAAAAAAATATAATTAAATAGTTAATTAGAAGGAAAAAATGAAGAAAAAATAAGAAAAAATAAATAAGATTAATTAATTAATAATAAAAGCAAAAGTTGAAAATAAAATGATTAGTTAAATTAATAAAGAAAGAACAAAAAAAAACAATCAAAATAAAAGAAAACGGAAATAAATAAAATAAATTAAAAGAGCTTTAATTTTTTAAATGAGTTTTTATAATTAAAAAGATTCCAATCCAAAACAAATAAACTGTTTTTATTAAGTGTAAATGTTAAAAGTGAAAAAAAAATATCAAATAATAAAAAATTAAAAATTTAAATGAAAATTAAGTTAAAATAGCTAAATATTTTTGTTTTAATAAAAATCAATGAATCATGATGATAATTTTTATTATTAAAATTTTTAAAAAATTAATTGAAAGTTAAATATATTGAAAATATTAATAATATTAATATTTATAAATTAAATATACCTCAGATCAATATGGAGAACCTAATGAGATAAAAGTGAAGAGCTTAAAAACTTTTTTTATTAATATAAATAAATTTTAAGGATATTAATTAAAAAATAAATAATTACTTTTTCTAATTCTCTATAATATTAAATCTATTCTATCATTTATTTATTTTTTTAATATTCGATAGAAATTTATTGTATTTAATTAATTAATTATAAGTGGATAAGCTTAATAATTAGTTAGTTTTAATTTAATTTTGGGAGGATTATTTATTTTTATATTTTCTGCATAATTTTTAAGATTTTTTATATCTCCTAACCTGAAAATAGATAAGGTTTTTTTTGAATAAATATAATATTTGTAATATATTAAACAATCCAATGAACATTTGATTAATTAGAAGCGAACTTTAATCTACGTATAGAACTATTTTCTTAAACAACTAATGCTATATTATTCTTTGAATATTTTAATTTAAAGTATTTTCTATTTTGTTTTAATTCAATAAATTAGAATTATTTTAAGTGAAAAAATAGGATTATTTGTATAAAGAAAATAAATATGTATATCAAAGGAAAGAAATATTTTTTGATATTTTGTAAAACTGTATCTTTTATTTTCTATTGAATAAGATATTTTCTTTTATAAGTTCTTAAAAATTCTAAAATAATCTCTTAAAAATATAATTATTTAGATATCGCAGCATATTTGTGATAATTAATAGTCTTAGATCTTTCTACAAAAAAAATATCTATTTAAAGAACATTTTAAAAATGTTACCATGATTTCATACTTTTATTTTGATTGAAAATATTTTAATTTCTATTATTTTCATTTCATAACTTAAAATTTCTTGAAAATTCAAGAAGAATTTATTCAATTAATCAATTAATTATTTTTGTGCTTTATAATTTACCAGATTCGATTTATTTTATTAGGAAAATGATATTTTCTTTCGTTAAATCGAAAATAAAGTATTAAAATAAATTAAATGGTCTCATAAGAATAAAATTAATTGGATATTCCAGCTTATTTGTGCTAATATTCTTAGCTATTTCAACCAAATAATATCTATTTTAAAAGCACATTAAAAATATCTCCATATTTAAACACTTTTATTTTAAATTGAAAACATTCTAATTAATTTCTTTCATTTTGATGTTATTAGTTATATTTTTTATTTACTATTTTTCAAAATTTAAAATTATATTTCTTCCTAAATTTGTAGCCCCTCAGATTCCTTAATGCTATTAATAGATAGTATTTAAAATTAAAATCAAACTTTAATATAAAAGCTTGGCATTTATATTATTTAATAAAATATAATATATTACTAAAAATTTCATATGATTTGATCGTTTTTTTATTATTTATTTATAAGTTATTTGTTAACTTAAAATAATATGAATGATATTTATAAATATAAAAACAATTATGAAATCTATCTATGCATGCATCTATATTTTATGTTTAAAAAACTTTTTCAAAATATTATATTACAAAATATATCAAATTCAATAATTCAAACATTTAATATTTATTCATCTTTTTTTTGCCACTATTTATCATCTGAATCTTTTTTCAAAAATAACTAATCTTTTTGATTTTAGATACTTGCTTATTATTTTCAATTGTTATGGTACATTCATTTAGTTATAACTTTTTAAATAAATTTGTGTAAAATAAAAAAAAATATAAATTAAATCAACTTTTAAATTAAAAATTATTTCTTAAATCAATAAATAAATAAATGAAATAACATTAGTGGAATAAAAAATATAAAAAAAATAAATCAAATAAAAGCTATCAAATAAATTCAAGGAGCTTTTTTGTTTAATATTCATTTTTATAATTAAAAATATCACAATCCAAAACAAATAAACTCTTTTTACTAAAGGTCAAGTGTTAAATTTGAGAGATTAATGCAATTTGCTAAAGCAGAACCTAAGCCTGATGCACCTTCATCACCAATTTAATTTTTACTTTTTAAATATTGAAGAAAAAATATATCATTAAATAGTTAATTAGAAGAAAAAATATGAAATAATAAATAAGATTAATTAATTAATAATAAAAGCAAAAGTTTAAAATAAAATAATGAGTTGAAAAACAAAAAAAAGTAAATACAATAAAAAGTAAAAGAAAAAAGAGCTTTATTGTTTTTAATTAGTTTTTATAATTAAAAATATCACAATCCAAAATAAATAAACTGTTTTTACCGAAGGTCAAGTGTGAAATTTGAGAGATTGATGCAATTTGCTAAAGCAGAACCTAAACCTGATGCACCTATTGCACCAATTTAATTACCACTTGAAGAAAAAATATATCATTAAATAGTTAATTAGAAGGAAAAAATGAAGAAAAAATATGAAATAATAAATAAGATTAATAAATTAATAATAAAAGCAAAAGTTAAAAATAAAATAATGAGCTAAATTAACAAAAAAGAAAAAAAAATCAATCACAATAAAAAGAAAAAAAAAGAGCTTTATTGTTTTTAATTAGTTTTTATAATTAAAAATATCACAATCCAAAGCAAATAAACTGTTTTTACCGAAGTTAAAGTGTCAAATTTGAGAGATTAATGCAATTTGCTAGAGCAGAACCTAAGCCTGATGCACCTTCATCACCAATTTAATTTCCACTTTTTAAATATTGAAGAAAAAATATATCATTAAATAGTTAATTAGAAGGAAAAAATGAAGAAAAATATAAAATAATAAATAAGATTAATTAATTAATAATAAAAGCAAAAGTTAAAAATAAAATAATGAGTTAAATTAACAAAGAAAGAACAAAAAAAGAAAGCACAATAAAAAGAAAAAGAAAAAAGAGCTTTATTGTTTTTAATTAGTTTTTATAATTAAAAATATCACAATCCAAAATAAATAAACTGTTTTTACTCAAGTTTAAGTGTCAAATTTGAGATATTTTTGCAATTTGCTAAAGCAGAACCTAAGCCTGATGCGCCCGTTGCACCAATTTAATTGTCACTTTTTAAATATTTAAGAAAAAATATATAATTAAATAGTTAATTAGAGGAAAAAATATGAAATAATAAATAAGATTAATTAATTAATAATAAAAGCAAAAGTTTAAAATAAAATAATGAGTTAAATTAAAAAAGAAAGAACAAAAAAAAGCAAGCACGATAAAAAGAAAAAGAAAAAAGAGCTTTATTGTTTTTAATTAGTTTCTATAATTAAAAATATCACAATCCAAAACAAATAAACTGTTTTTACTAAAGGTTAAGTGTCAAATTTGAGAGATTAATGCAATTTGCTAAAGCAGAACCTAAGCCTGATGCACCTTCATCACCAATTTAATTTTTACTTTTTAAATATTGAAGAAAAAATATATCATTAAATATTTATTAGAAGGAAAAAATGAAGAAAAAATATGAAATAATAATAAAAGCAAAAGTTGAAAATAAAATAATGAGTTAAATTAACAAAGAAAGAACAAAAAAAGAAAGCACAATAAAAAGAAAAAGAAAAAAGAGCTTTATTGTTTTTAATTAGTTTTTATAATTAAAAATATCACAATCCAAAACAAGTAAACTGATGTTAACCAAGGTCAAGTGTCAAATTTGAAAGATTAATGCAATTTGCTAAAGCAGAACTTAAGCCTGATGCGCCTGTTGCATCAATTTAATTTTCACTTTTTAAATATTGAAGAAAAAATATATCATTAAATAGTTAGAATATGAAATAATAAATAAGATTAATTAATAAATAATAAAAGCAAAAGTTAAAAATAAAATAATGAGTTAAATTAACAAAAAAGAAAAAAAATCAAGCACAATAAAAAGAAAAAAAAAGAGCTTTATTGTGTTTAATTAGTTTTAATAATTAAAAATATCACAATCCAAAACAAATAAACTGTTTTTACTCAAGTTTAAGTGTCAAATTTTAGATATTTTTGCAATTTGCTAATATCTAAAATTTCAGTGTATAGCCTTGAAATAGGCAGTACCCTAGGGTACTATACATATATATATATAAGAACAAAAAAAAGCAAATACAATAAAAAGTAAAAGAAAAAAGAGCTTTATTGTTTTTAATTAGTTTTTATAATTAAAAATATCACAATCCAAAACAAATAAACTGTTTTTACCCAAGGTCAAGTGTCAAATTTGAGAGATTAATGCAATTTGCTAAAGCAGAACCTAAGCCTGATGCACCTGTTGCACCAATTTAATTACAACTTTTTAATTATTGAAGAAAAAATATATCATTAAATAGTTAATTAGAAGGAAAAAATGAAGAAATAATATGAAATAATAAATAAGATTAATTAATTAATAATAAAAGCAAAAGTTAAAAATAAAATAATGAGTTAAATTAACAAAAAAGAAAAAAAATCAAGCACAATAAAAAGAAAAAAAAGAGCTTTATTGTTTTTAATTAGTTTTTATAATTAAAAATATCACAATCCAAAACAAATAAAATGTTTTTACTTAAGTTCTAGTGTCAAATTTGAGAGATTAATGCACTTTGCTAAAGCAGAACTTAAGCCTGATGCACCCGATGCACCAATTTAATTACAACTTTTTAATTATTGAAGAAATAATATATCATTAAATATTTATTAGAAGGAAAAAATGAAGAAAAAATATGAAATAATAAATAAGATTAATTAATTAATAATAAAAGTCAAAGTTAAAAATAAAATAATGAGTTAAATTAACAAAGTAAAAACGAAAAAAAGCAAATACAATAAAAATTAAAAGAAAAAAGAGCTTTATTGTTTTTAATTAGTTTTTATAATTAAAAATATCACAATCCAAAACAAATAAACTGTTTTTACCAAAGGTCAAGTGTCAAATTTGAGAGATTAATGCACTTTGCTAAACCTGAACATAAGCCTGATGCACCTTCATTACCAATTTTATTCCAACTTTTTAAATATTGAAGAAAAAATATATTATTAAATAGTTAATTAGAAGGAAAAATGTAGAAAAAATATGAAATAATAAATAAGATTAATTAATTAATAATAAAAGCAAAAGTTGAAAATAAAATAATGAGTTAAATTAACAAAACAAAAAAAAATCAAGCACAATAAAAAGAAGAAAAAGAGCTTTATTGTTTTTAATTAGTTTTTATAATTAAAAATATCACAATCCAAAACAAATAAACTGTTTTTACCGAAGGTCAAGAGTCAAATTTGAGAGATTAATGCAATTTGCAAAAGCAGAACCTAACCTTGATGCACCCGTTCCACCAATTTAATTTCCACTTTTTAAATATTGAAGAAAAAATATATCATTAAATAGTTAATTAGAGGAAAAAATATGAAATAATATAAGATTAATTAATTAAAAAACGAAAAAAAGCAAATACAATAACAAGTAAAAGAAAAAAGAGCTTTATTGTTTTTAATTAGTTTTTATAATTAAAAATATCACAATCCAAAACAAATTAACTGTTTTTACTGAAGATTAAGTGTCAAATTTGAGAGATTAAAGCAATTTGCCAAAGCAGAACCTAAGCCTGATGCACCTTCATCACCAATTTAATTACCACTTGAAGAAAAAATATATCATTAAATAGTTAATTAGAAGGAAAAAATGAAGAAATAATATGAAATAATAAATAAGATTAATTAATTAATAATAAAAGCAAAAGTTGAAAATAAAATGATGAGTTAAATTAACAAAGAAAGAACAAAAAAAAGCAAGACAATAAAAATAAAAAGAAAAAAGAGCTTTATTGTTTTTAATTAGTTTTTATAATTAAAAATATCACAATCCAAAACAAATAAACTGTTTTACTAAAGCTAAAGTGTCAAATTTGAGAGATAAATGCAATTTGCTAAAGCAGAACCTAAGCCTAATTCACCTTTATCACCAATTTAATTGTGACTTTTTAAATATTGAAGAAAAAATATATCATTAAATAGTTAATTAGATGAAAAAATATGAAATAATAAATAAGATTAATTAAAAGCAAAAGTTGAAAATAAAATGATGGGTTAAATTAACAAAGAAAGAAGAAAAAAAAGCTAGCTCAATAAAAAGAAATAGAAAAAAGAGCTTTATTGTTTTTAATTAGTTTTTTTAATTAAAAATATCACAATCCAAAACAAATAAACTGTTTTTACCCAAGGTTAAGTGTTAAATTTGAGAGATTAATGCAATTTGCTAAAGCAGAATCTAAGCCTGATGCACCTTCATCACCAATTTAATTTTTACTTTTTAAATATTGAAGAAAAAATATATCATTAAATACTTAATTAGAAGGAAAAAATGAAGAAAAAATATGAAATAATAAATAAAATTAATTAATAATTAATAAAAGCAAAAGTTGAAAATAAAATAATGAGTTAAATTAACAAAAAAAAAAAAAATCAAGCACAATATAAAGAAAAAGGAAAAAGAGCTTTATTGTTTTTAATTAGTTTTTATAATTAAAAATATCACAATCCAAAACAAATAAACTGTTTTTACCTAAGTTCAATTGTCAAATTTGAGAGATTAATGCAATTTGCAAAAGCAGAACCTAAGTCTGATGCACCTTCATCACCAATATAATTTTCACTTTTTAAATATTGAAGAAAAAATAGATCATTAAATAATTAAATAGTTAATTAGAAGAAAAAAATGAAGAAAAAATATGAAATAATAAATAAGATTAATTAATTAATAATAAAAGCAAAAGTTAAAAATAAAATGATGAGTTAAATTAACAAAAAAAGAAAAAAAAATCAAGCACAATATAAAGAAAAAGGAAAAAGAGCTTTATTGTTTTTAATTAGTTTTTATAATTTAAAATATCACAATCCAAAACAAATAAACTGTTTTTACCGAAGGTCAAGAGTCAAATTTGAGAGATTAATGCAATTTGCTAAAGTAGAACCTAAGTCTGATGCACTCTAATCACCAATAAATTAATGACTTTTTAAATATTGAAGAAAAAATATATCATTAAATAGTTAAAAAAGAAGGAAAAATTGAAGATAAAATCTGAAATAATATTTTTAATTAATAAAAGCAAAAGTTAAAAATAAAATAATGAGTTAAATTAACAAAGAAAGAACAAAAAAAGCAAGCACAATAAAAAGCGAGTTTTATATTCTGGTTTTTAAATTTAATAAATTTAAATTTTAAATATTTTTTATGAATTTTTTTTTCATCCTAGGGAATTAACTGTGAACTTCTCTTTTTTGAAAAACATCTAAATGTAAAAAACCTTATTTAGGGATGATTGTAAAATTTTTCAAAATTTATTTTTTTCAAAAAAAATGATATGTTATAAGAATATACTGTATGGTATGTATATATTATTTCAAATTTTACATTTTGTGAATTTAAAGCTTACTAAAAAGTAAAAAATAAAGCTGTTTGAAGCTAATTTACTTTATTTATTATGTTATTAAGATATATTACATTTAGCCTTTTATAAATTAAATAGGCATTTCACTCTAGTTAATAAGAAGGAAAAAATAAAGAAAAAGTAGGAAATAATAAGATTAACTAATAATTAATAAAATTTATAAAGAATTAAAAAATAAGAAATCATAATAAAAAGAAAAGGAAAATAAATCAAAGAAATTAAAAGAGCTTTAATGTTTTAAATTAAATTTTATAATTAAAAATATTACGATCCAAAACAAATAAACTGCTTTTATTAAGTGTAAGTTTTAATAGCAAAAAATAAAGAAAAAATATCAAATAATAAAAAATGAATAATAAATAATAAAATATTAAAATGAAAATTAAGTTAAAATAGCCAAAAAAAATTTATTTTAACAAAAATCAATAAATAAATAAATAATTATGATAATTCTTTTATAAAAACTATTTATTAAAATAAATTGAAAATTAAATTAACTAATAATATTAAAAGTAATATTTTTTAATTAAATATACTGAAGATCAATATGGAGAACCTAATGAGATAAAAGTGAAGAGCTTAAAAACTTTTTTTATTAATTTATTTAAATTTAAAGGATATTAATAAAAAAATTAATAATTACTTCTTCTAAACAGTAATATCTTTTAATCTATTATATCATTTATTTTTTTTCTTCAAAAATATTGAATAGCAATTTATAAAATTAATGAAATTTAATTAATTATTTATGAATGGATAAAAAGAACAAATAAAAATAATAACTAATTAATTATCAAATATTAATTTATATATTTAGCTTTATGAAGAGATATCACAGAAAAATTAATTTAACATTCATTATTTAAACTTAAAATTTGTATTTAAAACATATACCTAAAAATATATATTGTAGGAATTAGATATGGCCAGCTATTTATTTAGTCATATTTGAAAAAATCTAGTAGTTAAGAACATTAAATACTAGAATTTTTTCAAATATGACTAAATAACTGGCAATATCTAATTCCTACTATATTTTTAAGCATTTATTTTAAATACAAATATTAAGTTTAAATAATGGATGTTAAATTAATTTTTCTATGATATCTCTTCTTCATAAAACCAAATATATAAATTAATATTTGATATTTAATTAATTATTATATTCATTTGTTCTTTTTATCCACTCATAATTAATTAAATTTCATAAATTGCTATTCAATATTTTTGAAAAAAAAAAATGATATAATAGATTAAATATTACGAAGAATTAGAAAAAGTAAATATTAATTTTTTATTAATATCCTTTAAATTTATATAAATTAATAAAAAAAGTTTTTAAGCTCTTCACTTTTATCTCATTAGGTTCTCCATATTGATCTTCAGTATATTTAATTAAAAAATATTATTTTTGTAATTATTAATACTTTTTGTATATTTAATTTTAAATTTATTTAAATAAATAATTTTTATTATAGAATTATCATTTTTATTTATTGATTTACTTGGATTAAACTAAAAATTTTTTAGTTTTTTTAACTTAATTTTCATTTCAATTTTTAATTATTTATTATTTGAAATTATTTCTTCATTTTTTGCTATTAAAACTTACACTTAATGAAAGCAGTTTATTTGCTTTGAATTTTAATATTTTTAATTATAAAAGTCAATTTAAAACATTAAAGCTTTTTAATTTATTTGATTTATTTTCCTTTTTCTTTTTATTATGATTTCTTATTTTATTAATTATCAATTAATCTTATTATTTCATATTTTTTCTTCATTTTTTCCTTCTAATTAACTAGAGTGAAATGCCTACTTTATTTATAAAAGGCGAAATATAACATATCTTAATTACTTAATAAATAAAGCTAAATAAATTAGTTTAAAACAGCTTTATTTTTGAGTTTTTAGAAAGCTTTTAAATTCACAAAACTCAAAATTTGAAATAATATATACATACTGTATATGATAAAAACATATCATTTTTTTTGAAAAAAATAAATTTTGAAAAATTTTACGAATTGAATGAAAAAAATTCATAAAAAATATTTAAAATTTTAATTTGATAAAAATGTAAAAACTGGTATATTAAGCTCTCTTTTTGTAAATTTGTATGGCAACTTACTCTATTTTATGATATATTTATTCTTCAATATTTAAAAAGTTACAATAAAGTTGATGATAAAGGTGCATCAGGTTTAGGTTCTGCTTTAGCAAAATGCATTAATCTCTCAAATTTGACACTTGACCTTCAGTAAAAAACAGTTTATTTGTTTTGAATTGTGATATTTTTAATTATAAAAACTAATTAAAAACAATAAAGCTCTTTTTTCTTTTAATTGTTATTGTGCTTGCTTTTTTTGTTCTTTCTTTGTTAATTTAACTCATTATTTTATTTTCAACTTTTACCTTTATTATTAATTAATTAATCTTATTTATTATTTCATATTTTTTCTTCTAATTAACTATTTAATGATATATTTTTTCTTCAATATTTAAAAAGTTACAATAAAATTGGCGATGAAGGCGCATCAGGCTTAGGTTCTGGTTTAGCAAACTGCATTAATCTCTCAAATTTGAAACTTGATCTTAGGTAAAAACAGTTTTTTTGTTTTGGATTGTGATATTTTAAATTATAAAAACTAATTAAAAACAATAGAGCTCTTTTTTGTTTTTCTTTTTATTGTGCTTACTTTTTTTGTTCTTTCTTTGTTAATTTAACTCATCATTTTATTTTCAACATTTGCTTTTATAATTAATTAATTAATCTTATTTATTATTTCAGATTTTTTTCCTTCTAATTAACTATTTCTTTAATATTTAAAAAGTTTGAATAAAATTGGTCGTGTAGGCGCATCAGGCTTAGGTTCTGGTTTAGCAAAGTGCATTAATCTCTCAAATTTGACACTTAATCTTGAGTAAAAACAGTTTATTTGTTTTGGATTGTGATATTTTTAATTATAAAAACTAATTAAAAGAAATAAATTGTTTTTTCTTTTACTTTTTATTGTGCTTGCTTTTTTTTGTTTTTTCTTTGTTAATTTAACTCATAATTTTTATTTTCAACTTTTGCATTTATTATTAATTAATTAATCTTATTTATTATTTCATATTTTTTCTTCAAATGAACTATTTAATGATATATTTTTTCTTCAATATTTAAAAAGTAAAAATTAAATTGGTGATGAAGGCGCATCAGGCTTAGGTTCTGGCTTAGCAAAGTGCATTAATCTCTCAAATTTGACACTTGAACTTTAGTAAAAAACAGTTTATTTGTTTTGGATTGTGATATTTTTAATTATAAAAACTAATTAAAAACAATAAAGCTCTTTTTTCTTTTTATTTTTATTATGCTTGCTTTTTTTGTTCTTTCTTTGTTAATTTAACTCATCATTTTTATTTACAACTTTTGCATTTCTTATTAATTAATTAATCTTATTTATTATTTCATATTTTTTCTTCTAATTAACTAATTAATGATATATTTTTTCTTCAATATTTAAAAAGTGAAAATTATATTGGTGCAATTGGTGCATCAGGCTTAGGTTCTGCTTTAGCAAATTGCATTAATCTCTCAAATTTGACACTTAATCTTGAGTAAAAACAGTTTATTTGTTTTGGATTGTGATATTTTTAATTATAAAAACTAATTAAAAGAAATAAACTGTTTTTTCTTTTACTTTTTATTGTTTTTTCTTTGTTAATTTAACTCATCATTTTTATTTTCAACTTTTGCAATTATTATTAATTAATTAATCTTATTTATTATTTCATATTTTTTCTTCAAATGAACTATTTAATGATATATTTTTTCTTCAATATTTAAAAAGTCTCAATTAAATTGGTGATGAAGGCGCATCAGGCTTAGGTTCTGGTTTAGCAAAGTGCATTAATCTCTCAAATTTGTAACTAAGTCTTTAGTAAAAAACAGTTTATTTGTTTTGGATTGTGATATTTTTAATTATAAAAACTAATTAAAAACAATAAAGCTCTTTTTTCTTTTTATTTTTATTGTGCTTGCTTTTTTTGTTCTTTCTTTGTTAATTTAACTCATCATTTTTATTTACAACTTTTGCATTTCTTATTAATTAATTAATCTTATTTATTATTTCATATTTTTTCTTCTAATTAACTAATTAATGATATATTTTTTCTTCAATATTTAAAAAGTGAAAATTAAATTGGTAATGAAGGCGCATCAGGCTTAGGTTATGCTTTAGCAAAGTGCATTAATCTCTTAAATTTGAGTATTGATATTTGGTAAAAATAGTTTATTTGTATTGGATTGTGATATTTATATTTTAAAAAATGAATGTTAAATAAAAAAGCTCCTTAAATTTATTTGATAGCTTTTATTTTATTTATTTTTTTTTATCTTTTTTCTTATGCTAATTATTTTATTTATTTAAGAAATAATTTTTAATTTAAAAGTCTGTTTTCTTTAATATTTTTTAAAAATTTACATAAATATTTTATAAAAATAGTCCCAGTTAATTAGAAGGATATTTTAAAGGAGGAATAAGTAAATGCCTAAAATCAAAAAGATTAGTTATCTTTGATAAAATAATGTAATGATAAACAAGTGGTAAAAAAAAGATGAATAAATATTAAATGTTTGAATTATTAAATATGATATGTTTTATAATATACTATTTTGAAAAAGTGTTTTTAACCTAAAAAATAGATGCATGCATAGATATTATTTTATTATTGCTTTTATATTTATATATCATTCATATTATTGTAAGTTTAAAATAGCTTATAAATAATAAAAAAACAATCAAATTATATGAAATTTTTAATATATATTATGTCTTATTAAACAATATAAATGCCAATCTTTTATATTAGAGTTTAATTTTAATCTTAAATAGTATCCATCAATAGCATTAAGGAATCTGAGGGGTTAAAAATTTAGGGAAAAATAAAATTGTACTTTTTGTTTTAGCTTTTTGACAATAATTAATTAATGATTATATGAATAGATTTTCAATAATCCCCCTCCTTAAATGGTTAATAAGTTAATTTTTATTTATTTGATAATTTATTTATTAATTTACCAAAATAAATATGTTACTCATAAATATAAAAATAATAATAAACCTATAATAAACCTATATATCTATATTTTAGTTTAAATTATCTTGTTATAAAATATTATTTAATTTAATATTTTATTTTCTATTAATTAAATATTTAATATTTATTCATCCTTTTTCATCACTTTTCTATCACCAATAGAAAATATTAAAGACAACTAATCTTTTTGATTTAAGACACTTGCTTTTTACTTTCAATTCTTATTATTTGTTGATTTAGTTTTTACTTTTTAAATAATATTAAATTAAAATAAAATATTTAAAAAATTAAATAGAAAAAATTTTTTAATTATAAAAGCATTAGTAAAATAAAAAAGAAAACATAAATAAATCAAGTAAAAAGCTAATAAGCAAATTGCAAGATCTATATTATTTTAAATTCAATTTTATAAGTAAAAATATCATAATCCAAAACAAATAAACTAAATTTACCTAAGATAAAGTGTAAAAATTGAGAGATTAGTGCAATTTGCTAATGAAGAGCCTAAGCCTTATGCACATTAATCACCAATTTAATTGGATCTTTTTAAATATTTAAGTAAGTATATAATTACTCAGTTATTTAGAAGTAAAAAATGAAGAAAAAATATGAAATAATAATAAGAAAAGAATTAATAAATAAATAAATAAATAATAAAAGCAAATGTTGAAAATAATGAAATGAATTAAATTAAGAAACATAGAAGAAAAATAAACACAAGTACAATAGAAAAGAAAAAAAATAAATATAAATCAAAAAAAAAGCCAATTAATAAATTAAAAGAGCTATATTGTTTTAACTTAAATTTGATAAGTAAAAATATATTATACAAAACAAATAAACTGAATTTACCTAAGACAAAGTGTCAAATTTGAGATATTAGTGCTATTTGATAAAGCAGAGCCTAAGCCTGATGCACTCTAATCACAAATTTAATTTCCACTTTTTAAAGATTAAAGAAAAAATATATTATTAGTTAGTTAAATTAAGAAATATACAATAAACAAAAGTAAAATAAAAAAGAAAATTTATAAGTAAATCAAATAAAATACAAATAAACAAATTAAAAAAGCAATATTGTTTTAAATTCAATTTTTTAAGTAAAAATATCAAAATCCAAAACAAATAAACTGAATTTACCTAAGATCAAGTGTTAAATTTGAGAGATTTGTGCAACTTGCTAAAGCAGAGCCTAAGAATGATGCACCATAATCACCAATTTTATTGGTTCTTTTTAAATATTTAAGTGGTAATATAATTAATAAGTTATTTAGAAGAAAAGGTATGAAATAATAATAAGAAAAGAATTAATAAATAATAAAAGTAAATGCTAAAAATAAAAAATGAGTTAAATTAAGAAAAATAAAAGAAAAATAAACACAAATACAATAAAAAAGAAATACAAAAGTAAATCAAATAAAAAGCTAATAAACAAATATAAAAAGCTAACTTGTTTTAACTTCAATTTGAAAAGTAAAAATATCACAATCCAAAACCAATAAACTGAAATTACCTAAGATTCAGTTCCAAATTTCTGAGATTAGTGCAATTTGCTAAAGCAGAGCCTAAGTCTGATGCACTTTAATCACCAATTTAATTTCCACTTTTTAATGATTGAAGAAAGAATATATTATTAATTAGTTTATTTAGTATTAAAAAATGAAGAGAAAATATTAAATAATAATAAGAAATGTATTAATAAATAAATAATAAAAGTAAATGTTGAAAAAAAAATGAGTTAAATTAAGAAAAAATAAAGAAAAATAAATACAAGTACAATAAAAAAGAAAAAGAAAAGTTAATCAAATAAAATGCTAATAAACAAATTAAAAAAGCTATAATGTTTTAACTTCAATTTTATAAGTAAAAATATCACAATCAAAAGCAATAAACTGAATTTACATAAGATCAAGTGTCAAATTTGAGAGATTTGTGCAATTTCCTAATGCATAACCTAAGCATAATATACCTTAATCACCAAGTTTGTTGTAACTTTTTAAATATTGAAGAAAAAATATATTATTAATTTGTTATTTAGAAGCAAAAAATGATTAAATATGAAATAATAATAAGAAAAGAAATAATAAATAATAAAATGGAATCATGAAAATAAAAAATTGAGTTAAATTAAGAAACATAGAAGAAAAATGAACACAGTAAAATAAAAAAGAAATAGAAAAGTAAATCAAATAAATAAATAGCTAATAAACAAATTAAAAGAGCTAAATTGTTTTAAATTCAATTTGATAAATAAAAATATCACAATCCAAAACAAATAAACTTAATTTACCTAAGATTAAGTATTAAATTTGAGATATTTGTGCAATTTACTAAGGCAGAACCTATACCTGATACACCAATTGCACTAATTTCATTCAGACTTTTTAAAATATTGATGAAAAAATATAATTAATTAGTTGTTAAGAAGAAAAAAATTTAAGAGAAAATATGAAATATTAATAAGTAATGAATTAATAAAAAAGTAATAAAAGCAAATGTTGAAAATAAAAAATGAGTTAAATTAAGAAAATAAACACAATTAAAATAAAAAAGAAAAATAAAATCAAATTTAGCTAATAAGAAAATTAAAAGAGCTATATTGTTTTAATATATTTTACAAGTAAAAATATCATAATCCAAAACAAATAAACTTAATTTACCTAAGACCAAGTACCAAATTTGTGAGATTAGTGCAATTTGCTAAAGCAGAGCCTAAGTATAATGCACCTTAATCACCTATTGTATTTTCACTTTTTAAATATTGAATAAAAAGTTAATTAGTTATTCATTTAGAAGGAAAAAATGATTAAAAAATATGAGATAATAATAAGAAAATAATTAATAAATAAATAAATAATAAAAGCGAGCGAATGTTGAAAATAAAAAAATGAGTTCAATTAAGTAACATAAAAGAAAAATAAACACGAGTAAAATAAAAAAGAAATGAAAATTAAATCAAATAAATAGCTAATAACCAATTCAAGAAGCTATATTTTTTAATTTTCAATTTTATAAATAAACTGAATTTACATAAGATAAAGTACCAAATTTGTGAGATTAGTGCAATTTGCTAAAGCAGAGCCTAAGCCTGATGCATTTTAATCTCCAATTTAATTACCACTTTTTAAAGATTGAAAAAAAATAAAAAAATAAATTAGTTTTTTTGAAGCAAAAAATAAAGAAAAAGTATGAAATAATAAATAATAAAAAATGAATTAACAAATAATAAAAGCAAATTTAAAAAATAATAAATTGACTTAAATTAAAAATCATAGAAGAAAAATAAACACAAATAAAATAAAAATGTAAAGTAAATCAAATAAATAGCTAATAAAAAAATTCAAAGAGCAATTTTGTTTTAAATTCAATTTTGTAAGTAAAAATATCTCAATCCAAAACAAATAAGCTGAATTTACCTAAGATCAAGTGTCAAATTTGAGAGATTAGAGCTATTTGATAAAGCAGAAACTAAACCTAATGCACCTTTATGACAAATTTAATTTTCCCTTTTTAAAAAAAAGAAGAAAAAATATAAGTTAATTAGTTATTTAGAAAGAAGAAAAAAATGAAGAAAAATATGAATTAATAATAATAATAATAAGAAATGAATTAGTAAATAAATAAAAAAAGTAAATATTGAAAATAATAAATAACATATGAGTAAAATTAAGAAACATAGAAGAAAAATTAAAACAAGTACAATAGAAAAGAAAAAGAAAAATAAATCAATTAAAATGCTAATAAACAAATTAAAAGAGCCGTTTTATTTTAACTTAAATTTGATAAGTAAAAATATCGCAATCCAAAACAAATAAACTGAATTTACCTAAGATCAAGTGTTAAATTTGAGAGAAAAGTAAAATTTGCTAAAGCAAAGCCTAATCCTGATACATCTTAATCACCAATTTAGTTTTTTTTCTTGCTGAAAATTTCTTTGAAAACACCAATAAGTTTTTTGAATCTGATACTTTTTTTTTATTTTGCCAAAAAAAAAATTCCAAAATTAAATAAATGTGTTTAATTTAATAAACTATTTATGAGTTTATTAATACTTGTATTTATGTGATAGTATATTATTATTATCTTCATCAATTTTATTATAACTTTTTAAATATTGAAGAAAAATAAATAATTAATTAATTAGTTATTTAGAAGGAAAAAATGAAGAAAAAATATGAAATAAAAATAAGAAATGAATTAATAAATAAATTAGATAAGCATTTATTGAAAATAAAAAATGAGTTAAATTAAGAAGCATAGAAGAAAAATAAACACAAGTAAAATAAAAAAGAAAAATAAATTAATCAATAAATAGCTAATAAACAAATTCAAATGGCTCTTTTAAATTCATTTTTTTTTAGTAAACATTTCGCAATCTTAAACAAATAAACTGAATTTACCTAAGATCAAGTGTCAAATTTGAGAGATTAGTGCAATTTGCTAAAATAGAACCTAAGACTGATGCACCTTTATCGCCAATTTTATTTCCTCTTTTAAAATATAGAAGAAAAAGTATAAGTTAAATAGTTATTTGGTAAGAAAAAATGAAGAAAAAATATGTAATAATAATAATAAAAAATAAATGAATAAATAATAAAATTAAATGTTGAAAACTATAAAAATGAGTTAAATTAAGAAATATAGAAGAAAAATATACACAAGTATAGTCAAAATAAAAAGTAAAAAAAAAGCTTTTTAACAAATTAAATGAGCTATTTTGTTTTAAATTCAATTTGATTTATTATCACAATCCAAAACAAATAAATTGCTTTTACCTAAGATGAAGTCTCAAATTTGAGAGATTAGTGCAATTTACTAAAGCAGAACCTAAGTCTGATGCACCTTAATCGTCAATTAATTTCCAACTTTGAAGAAAAAATATATTAGAAGGAAAAAATGATGTAAAAGAAGCATGAAATAAATAATAAAAGCAAAGTTAAAAATAAAAATTGAGCTACATTAAGAAAGATAGAAGAAGAATAAACATAAGCAAAATAAAAAGAAAAGAAAATTAAATCAAATAAAAATCTAATAAACTAATTAAAAGAGCTATATTATTTTAAATTCAATTTTATAAGTAAAATTATCACAATCCTAAACAAATAAACTATTTATATCAAATAAAATTTTTAGAATGAAAAAAATGAATAAAATAAATAAATATATTAAATAATAAAAAATGGATAATAAAATTAAGTTAAAATAACTAATAATACATTAGCAAATAAAATGTACTAGTTTTGCTGTTAATTTCTATTAGAAAAATAAAATTTAATATAAACTGAGAGTTAGTTAAATATATAGAAAATATTAATAATAATATTTATAAATTAAATATACCAAAGATTAACATCGAGAATCTAATGAGATTAGAGTGAAGAATTTAAAAACTTTTATGTTAGTAAAGATAAATATAAAGTATATTGATAAAAAAATAAATAATTACTTCTTATAATTAGTGGTAATATTTAATCTATTATATCATTTATTTTTCTTTCTCAAAATTATTGAATTGCAATTTATTGAAATTTAATTAATTAATTTATAAATTTTATAAATTTGCTTTATAGCAAGAGATATCACTAAAAATTTAGTGTAATCTTTGTTGTCATGTCAAATCTTAATATTTATATTTAAAATGTATACTAGTGATGACCGGATGTGAATTTTATTGTTAATGAATTTCCTATTATTTTTCAATTCCAAATAGGGTATTAAATTTAATATTTTAAAATAAAATAGTCTAAATACCTAAATGAATAAAAATTTCTAAAAATTTTATCTTGATAGTTCTGAAAGGTCATTCTCCATTTTTTAATATTTGAATTAAATATATTATTTTTATAAATAAAAAAAAAAATTATTTCACAATTTAAATAATTTAAAATAGCATGGAATCCTGTTTTGAAAACTTAAAAAAAAAAGCTTTTTTATGAATATACTATCTAATTAACTATTAGGATATTTTTCTTAATTTAAGAATTTCATTGATTAAGTGGTTTTCATTTTTTTGTTCCTGATTACTATATTGTAATGTAAAAATTAAAAAATATTAATATTTTTATTACTTAATCAAGATAAAAAATATTTGGTTTATTTATTATCAGAAAAGATTAGGCCTTTTCATTTTTTGAAGTTGGGCTTACTACTATCCAAAGATATAAAAGAATAGGTTTGAGAGATAATAATCAAAATAATTAATTAATTAATTAATTAAATTAAATTTCTTTTTATTAGAAAATGCTTGTTGAAAGTTTGCTATATATCACTCTTTTTTTTGCACTAGGAATAATCTTTTTAATATTTAGGGCAATAATTTATCCTAAAATTAGGCTATTGCAACTCAAAAAAAAGTATGGTGACAAAATATAAATCGTTCATCACTATGGAACTGGACTACCTATGGAGTATAGGAAAGGATTCGTTGAGAGAAATGATAGTATGGCATTTGTACGCAAGATGGCAGCAGAAAAAACAAATAAAATGCAAGTTTTTGGTTTTAACATTGGCTATAATGTTGGGTTAAGCTTTTTAGATCCTGAACTTATAAAGCAAGTTCATTAAAGCCATGATGCATTTTAGAAGATAAATATAAGCCAGGCATTTAATTACCTTTTTTCTGATTCTCTTTTTTATGCTACTGGCAAGAATTGGCAAAGATAGAGATAATTTTTAGGAAAGTCATTTCATTTTGATGAAATTAGAAACTATTTGCCTTCAATTAAAGAATTGTGTTCAAAAGTTACGGATTAATTAAATAAAGATTTGAAAGCAAATCCACAGTAAGAAATCTAAGTAATTAATGTGTGCGAAAAAATAACATCTGAAGTTGTTTTCAGAGTATTTTTTGGATCAACACAAGAAAACATGATGATCACAAGAGAAGATGGCTCTCAGCTGCATTTATCTGAAGAGCTGGTCTCTTTAATTATGGATTCTTTTCGTATCCTCCAATAAAACAAGCTACTTCTACTAAAAAATCTAATATTAAAATCTTACAGCTTTAAAATTTTCCCTCTCAAAGAAGAAAAATGGCTACTCAATCGTTTAGTTTAGGTCAAGGCTGCTTGCGAAAAAGTCGTCTTAAAGAGAAAAGAAGAGCTTTAACAAAATTTGGATTAGTATAAAAATAATTTCCTAGACTTATACTTGAAAGAGATGATTGAAAACAAAAATTCTGGCATTACATATGATGAAATTATAGCAAATTTCTGTGGTCTATTTTTTGCTGGAACAGATACAACTGGAAATATGACTGGCGTTGCTTTATATTATCTTTCTTTGAATCCTTAAATTTAAAAAGAAGCTAGAGATGAAGTGATTAGAGTAATATCTAAGAAAAATTAAGACATTAAGGGCAATGACTTGTTTAGCTCTTTATAATTTGAAGATCTTTCAAACATGAATCTCTGTAATTCTATTCTAAAAGAATCATTGCGACTAATTCCACCTGCATTTGGAGTTTTTCCTAGATATGTTACTAGAGACATAAAAATAGGACAATACGAACTGAAAAAAGGAGATCTTGTTAACACTCATTTTATTTATAACTAGTCTAATCCTTAAACATTTACAAATCCAGACAAATTCGATCCATATAGATGGATGAATGGAAATGAGTAACTTTCTTTTTTATTAATTTTAAAATTTATCCATATATTTTACAAAAAAAGATCATAAAATGCCTTTAACTTCACTCCTTTTTCTTTGGGTCCAAGGAATTGCATAGGACAACACTTGGCCATGATTGAGGGTAAATGCATGTTGGCTAACTTCTTACTTAACTATGATATTTTACCAAACGAATCCTAAAAAGTCTAATTAGAAATGAAAATTATTTATGGATTTTCACAAGACAATTTAGTTTATTTTAAAAAGAGATAATAATGATATAATTTATGTTTTAATGTCTGTCAAAAAATATGTAATCAATCCAATATTAGACACTCTAAAGAGATATTTTATATTTATTTACTTCATTCTAAAAATAAAGAGTTTTTTGTATAAATCTATTTTAGTTTAGTTACTACAATTTTTAATTGCATAATTATTGTTAAATGAAATAGGAATTTTATTATTTATTGAATAATACCCCTACAAGGAAGCTCTTTTACTCAAATTATTTAAAATACTCGATTAATAAAAAGTTAAGCACAAATAATACAGAAATTATGTAAACATGATTATTTATTAATTTTTGCTTACATTCAAATTAAAATTTAATTAATTGAGATTATACCTTAAAAATTAAACTATTTAAAGAATCATATTTCAAAATAACATTAACAATCTTGTATGAAGAAGTTTATTTTTTATGTGAAATAATTTATTTTTACAAAAAGACAAACAAGATAAAATATCAACATAATATATTTTCAGCAAAGTATTATATCAATCCATAAATTAATAAGCTTTTAAACTAACTTATTCTTATGAATTTAAAATAAAAATCATTGCTATTCTCGAATAATTATTTCTCTAGTAGGAATATATATAGCACTATGCTATTTTAAAAAAACGCTATTGCAAATTTAATTTAATTTGTAAAATGAGGGCACAATGGAATATTTTAAGATTTAAAAAAGTAGGGCAATTATATAAAATATATTTTCATGTTTTTTGTAATGTAATTTAAAACTTTAAAATTTTTAAAATTTAACATTTTATTTCTCTTTAATTACCCCCCCCCCCCCCCCACCCCATTATTAAATGGTTATTATTGCACTATATAGTATTTAATTGGAATAGGAGAGAGAACACCTGTGACACTGGCCTCTGTTCCCTCAATATAAGAGGAAAAGTGAGGTCTGGGGCAACATTTTTTTAGACTAGCTTTTTTTAACACATTTATATAATAATAATTTAGAATATTTTTACTGAGAAAATAAATACTGAATAAAAATTCATTTTCAAAATTGCAATTAACATTTTAGAATGGTTTTTGATGAGAAAATAAATACTGAATAAAAATTCATATTCAAAATTGCACATAATTGACATTTTAGAATAATTTTTACTGAGAAAATAAATACTGAATAAAATTCATATTCAAAATTGCACTTGATTAATATTTTAGAATAATCTTTGATGAGAAAATAAAAACTGAATAAAAATGCATATTCAAAATTTCATGTAATTAAAATTTTAGAATGATCTTTGATGAGAAAATAAATACTGAATAAAAATTCATATTCAAAATTGCACTTAATTAAAATTTTAGAATGATAGAATGATTTTTGATTAGAAATAAATTCTGAAATAATTGAGTAATTCAAATAAAATATATAAAAAAATAATAAAATATGTTAAAATACCTAATAAAGTAGATAATAAATTTACTAATATTCGAATCAATAAATATTATCTACCTAAATAGAAAGTAAACTATTATAAACAATATTTATTTATTTTCACATAAATTTAATTGTTAGAAAGTAGTTAATGCTTTAAATAACATTATTTATCATTTTCATTAACTCTAAAATATTTTAAATCTATCTTATACAAATAATTTTTGTTTTAAAAGAATGTTGCAGCTCGCAATATTTTTTAAAATTAGGTGATACAATTAATTTAAGAAATCTGAGATTCTTTTTTTAATTGTTATTTGTTTATGTATTGTTATCACTAAATTAATAATCTTATTAATAAACAAATATTAAAAATAACATTATTTTTTTAAATATCTTTACATTATTTTATATGAAGTATTAATTTTAAATATTTTTTTTGTAAGCAAAAATAAAAATAAAAAACTGTGTTTTTAATTATCTTTTGTAAATTTAGGTAGATTACTTGCTCAATAAATATTTAATATGTTTTTGAATTAAATTAAACTGATAAGTAAAAATAAAAAAATTATTTTTAAAAATTTATGTAGCTTCAAATTCTCTCAAAAAATAGTAGAGTCAGTCATGTTAACATTTATATAATTTATAAACAAAAATAAAATAATTTTATAATAATAACAATAATAATAATATAAAATAGACAATTTAATTAATTAAAAAGTAAAGAAAATCCCCTACTAATCCCCATGAATCCCCAATTTTTTATCTTTTTGCGATACAAATTAATTTTTATCAAATGATAATTTCCATTAGTTTTCTTTCTTTAAGTATAATATCCATTAAATATTCCATTCTTTAATTTTATTATATATCTACTTTTATCTTTTTTCGGATCCAATTTAGGATATTAATAATTCCTTTAT